TTGGTTTCGACGTGCTTGTGATGACGGTTGTTCTTTGTTGTGGGTAGCAGAAGCATTGATAATATCTTGTAGTGAAATACTACTTGAATACACGAGTTTGGGTCTTGATCTCTGATAAGGTTGATGGAATACAATCGTCTCTCCGAAATGACTTCTCATTCGAGGCTTCAGTTTCTGGCTAGTGTATTTCTGACCATCAACTCCTCTTTCTTCTAGCAATTCGGCATATTTCTTCAACAATGAAACCATATCATAAGCCATTTCACGAAATGCTTGGTCATAAACAGATTCTTTTCTTTCATCTTCCTTAAAGACTTGAGACTTGAGCTTTGATTGCTCACATAAGATGCGAAGCATGTTTTGTGATACTTCGCTTCGGCGGCAACTAAATCATTGCCGACTCCCATAAGTACACGAAGCATATCCTGATCTCCTTTTGCCTCCGCACATTGCATTATTGTATTGCATGCCGCGAGTGTGGATACACTTTGCATCACTTTTTCTTTCTTGTGAGTGCGATTCTTGCAAAACAAGCATTTTGACCAGTCATGCGGGACAGCTTTAGATCGATATATCATGGCACAAGGCTCACTGGTTGCTTCAGCGTACTTATTTTTTTCTGTCTGCACTGTCGATGATTGATGATTTGACGCATACTTGATATTTTGTTCACTTGTATATGTTGTATAACAGGAAGCGTGCCACAGAACTTCGTTTTCGTACAAGACATCAAAATTTGCAGAAAGCCGTCGATAAACGTCATCCTGACGAATTTGCAATTTCGAAATAAAATTTTTAACAGAAGATTGCTTTCCCTTTCTCAGATTTTCTCTTGAGTCAGACTGGCAAATGATGCACTTAGTGAAACATGTCGAACGGCGTCGTTTGGGTAATGGCGGCAGAGGAAATTGTATACCAATGTCATCACCTTCATTTTCTACATCCATCATAACTGCTGCAATCAAGATCATGAAGTTAGCGATGATAGAACAAATACAAAAACGTTTTTAAAGTCTATTTGGATAAAGTTTCTTATTAGCCTCCTTTATATATAACTTAAAGTTTGTTCAATTTAAAAGATGCTGTTTTGTGTACTTTATTTTAACACTTACCGGTAATTATTATCCGATGAACTATCTACCCAGTAGACAAGGAACGTCGACTCAAGATACTTCTATCAGAGAAGCATGCAAAAAAATTAAATAACAAACAATAAACTTATAAAGAAATGCATGAATATATGTAAGAAAAAACAATGGGGTAACTGAGTATGCTAGGTGTATTCTTGTATTTTTAACTAATTGTACTGGAACTAAAACTTTTATTACAACATGATATTACATCTTTTCGTAGTGAATTAAAGTACTTTAAAAATTACATAAATTATCTTAAAAACTCACAAATAACTTAAAATGCATATTATGAATTCATTCAGACACTATTTTGATTATTTTCTCACTTACCGGTCACATTTTTAGCATTTTTCCAGCAAAAACTGACTTTCAAAAGATTTATCCATCCGCCATTTTTAAATTATGAATATAGCATGAAAATGAGTCTAGTTTTGGCGGGAAAACCAGCGTAAAACTCCTGGAGATGGTACTAACAGATAAAATTAAACTATTTTGTATTTAATTGTCAGTATATAATTTTTTAAAGTGTGCTCAATTTTCTTAAAATATAAACGATTTCTAGACCACGAAACTATGCTCTTAAAGTGGCTCATTGCTGTTTTAACTTTGTAGCGCACCAAATCCTTTTACTGTTTATTGTGCAAGGTATGGTCATGAAACTTGGCTGCAACATTGCCACAGTATTGTGCTGTGTGAAAAATGCAAAAACTTATTTTGTTTCTTCGTTGCCATAGTAACAAAGCCATTTTCGAAAGATCGTGTTTTCCATTTTTCTTGGATTTTTTGAAATGACTTAATCGGTTGTGAGCCACCTTAAGTGAAAACTGATACCACATTTCGACTCTACAACATACCTAGCGTTAATTAGCGGTGTCTAATCTACCAGAATTAGTTTTCAAACCTTTACTGTGGAATGGGTTGATCGAAACTGTTAACTAGTGGGTTTTTAAGATTCAGCTCCTCGACTAATGCATGCCCTTGTGTCGCTTTATAAAAGAAACTTCTCAGTTTGAGAAAGTTAGTCCTTCGTCCGAGGCAGAGCGAGCGAGTTTACTGTTTTCAGATTTAGTGAAAAGATCTTGAATATATATGTCCGAGCTAGGCAGAGCGAGTTTACTGTTTTCAGATTTATTGAAAAGATCTTGAATATATAGAGGTAGTATAGCTGTTAAAGCTTTCAATGTCATGATAGTTTCTCAGTCTTTTCTTTAAAATATCTTCAGTAGTTCGACCCCAGTTCAGATTTTCAAATATTGGGGTGGAACATCGAATGTTTCGCTATAGTGATAACGCGCAGCTTTCTTTTGTAACTTGGAAGCGTTTTTCTAAAGTTTTTCTCGCTTAACTGTAGTTAGTACGGTTACTCAAATTTTTATTTAAAATCTCTCTGATTCAGTCGATCTCAAAATGTGCTAGTAAGTGTGAACGGCTCCTGAAATTCAATGTTTTCGAGTTCGCATTTTGATACCCCAAAATCCATCAGTATATTTGTTTAGAAATATTATTAATATACCCTATAAATGTAAATTTCAATCTATAAAGATTAAACTAACCTTCAATTATTTGTATAATCACTTCAAGAATTTGAATCGCTTCAACTGTATGTCACGGCGTCCGTGTACAAGAGTGTGACTGCATGGAAAAAACTGGCAGCTCTGGTGGAAATATATAATGCCGCAAGAATAGCGTAGGCGATTAATTAATAAATAAATAAATTAGTACATTATTTATAAATGTTATTAATTTACTTAAACAATAACATTAATAACTGGACGTTTGCATTAGTTAATCGCCCACGCGCTAACACTATTCCAGTATAATATTCCTGTATACATTTCCACATTTCTATATCACTGTAAATATATGCTATTTCACCTGTTGGAGCCTATAATTATATAGGCCGAACTATAGAAATATCTGGCCGAACTATAGAAATATCTGGCCAGAGACTGTTGTGATTTAGTTGTGTGGTGTCTAAAATGCGCTGTGTGTGGTGAAAGTCATTCCCACGGTTAACTGCATGCAACCATTATTATAGAGATAGATCAACTTTATTTAATTAAACACATTGGCCTTTTCAGCAAAAGCTGATTTCCAAAAGGGATGTGTACTTACAAATTATTATTTATATACTAGCTCTAATATTACATACATAACAAATACAATTATATACCTATTTAGACAAAAAATTAACTACTACTTTATTCCTACCGAAGGAAGAATACTGACTGCATGGAAAAAACTGGCAGCTCTGGTGGAAATAAATAATTAATACCGCAAGAATAGCGTAGGCGATTAATGAATAAATTAATACATTATTTATAAATGTTATTATCTTACACAAACAATAACATTAATAACTGGACGTTTGCATTAATTAATCGCCCACGCGCTAACACTATTCCAGTATATATTCCTGTATACATTGCCACATTTTTATATCACTGTAAATATATGCTATTTCACCTGTTCGAGCCTATAATTATATAGGCCGAACTATAGAAATATCTGGCCGAACTATAGAAATATCTGACCAGAGAATGTTGTGATTCATTTAGTTGTGTGGTGTCTAAAATGGGCTGTGTCTGGTTAAAGTCATTCCCACGGTTGACTGCATGCACCATTATTATAGCCCGCGTGCAGGCCTACCGAAGGAAGAACACTGGGCCTGCAAGGAAGATCGGGTATTTTGTAACACGCCCCATTCGCGCGTCAATTGTCAAAAAAGAACCAATGACAGCAACCCAAATAGTGAAACTCGCATTAAAATGTTGCGGGCTTTTCTCTGCTATATCTAGTTCACTATTCAGAATAGAGACTCTGAAAAAGCAAGCAAACCAGTCAGCTTCAAATAATTACCAAGTTGCAAGTGCTCATTTTTCAACTAAATTCGAAACAGGCGAATTAGGACGACAGAAAAATTTAAAACCTGTCTCAAACTTCAAATCGTGAGGAAAGTCGTGCGACCATAAATAGTTTCTCACTTATCAGATTGTGTGTGTAATTCTTGTGAGCGGAAAGTACGAAATTTATTTCAGTTATTTTTCATTTGGTAAAGAACTCGACAAAAGAAGAAAGCGTTCAGAGTCCATGCCAGATTGTTTCAAACGGCAATTACCGTCTTCTGTTTTGCCCTCTCAAAGAAGCCCTGCAATTCGCAAAGTGTTTCGAATAGGCTTACATGCAACTGTTAGGGTTTGTAATCCAAGTGATTATATACATTTTAAGACCTGACCAGGAACGACTGCGAAAAATGCAGCACAAGGTCCTCTGGTAGGAATTGAACCTACGGCCCTGCGATTCCGGTGCAGCGCTCTAACCAACTGAGCTACAGAGGCCAGCTGTTGAGCTGTAACCGTACGTTCATGTATATATAGGTAATCGGGTGTGCGGGTTGTGATAAGGTGGACTTGAATGATGTGGTTTCTTTGCACTTCAAGTCCACCTTCGCCACCACCACCACGTCCGTGGCAATGCGTTTTACAACAAATGATATTTTCACACGTAAAAATATCGTATTTTTTACGTGTGTTTAAATACGATTTTTCTCACCGGTGGCCAAAAACTCTATATAACACTTATGTTTATATAATAAATATATATTACAATCACAAAATGTTTTAGGTCACTTTGACAAATTCACGATAAAGGCAATTAAGTTATATAGTTAAATAGTTGTATATAGTTACTGTTCATGTATATATTTATATGGTTACACTTCTGCCACTTACTGTATATATCTTCATTAATAAGTGATTATATATGGTGACAAGTATAATTAGAATTAATAACTTTATCTATAATAAATAAACAAAACTTTTGAGCATACTAAATGCAAGGGCCTAGCTACAGGCAAGCCAGAGTCTCTCTCCTCCGCAGAGGCTTTAGTTTTCCAGCCTGTTAGTTTTCTTAGGATTTAGTATTACGATGAGATACATTTCACTACACTTTACATGGCGGATCTTGAAACACGAGCGTAGCCGCTGGGCGAAGGAGCGCAGGCGGCAAAGGGAAAGACGAAGGAAGGCGCGAAGCCTCTGCACGATTTGCATCGCAAAGTGGGACAAAGTGGGACAAAGTGTAAACATCGAAACAAGGTGATTTTTAAGCTAAACAAGAAACGTCTTTTTGAAAATTAAATCATTATTTAATGCATGATTGATTGACCTCATTGACTAGTGCTTGCATGTTTGTGGATGGTCAAAAGTAATATTTTTTTAACATTAATACACAAAGCAAACAATCGTATATTTTACTCACCGCTTGGCCAAACATTCTGTATTTCGTATCGAGAAAAACTTGAATATTGCTTGAACTCTTCGGAATTCGCCACCAGTCAAAGAAGTAAAATACTCCTTGTATTCAAGCGCTTTCGTGTAGAAAATTTCTTTTGAATACGGCCAGTAGAAATATTTATTTTTAATTTTTCAAAATATCGGGTTTTAACTCGCACAGTCGCACGCGCCTGTCACACGCTGATGTTCGGGAATTAGTTCACAATCAGACCAGGAATGGAAATACCATAATAAAAGATGAAGTTTTCAAGATACAAGCTCAAAAATAACACTTTAAGTAGTGTTTTGAATTCGCTTTCGAACAAGAGTAATACAAAGAGGATGCGTCCCAAGGAGCCGAAGTTATGTTCGCCGAAAGGTATGCCTAGTTTATATTTTTATCAAGTATAAACATTGCGTGATTTGATATTAATATACAAAATCCCGCTTGACTTTCAAAGGTCATAAATCGCTATAGTGTTGACATTTCACTAAAGCTATCGATAGAAACTAGGAGATATTTTTGTACTGAATCGAACGGTGGTATTTTCATCTACATAGCGTATATTGAACCAAAGATACGAACCTCCAAATAAATCAGGGATAGCACTTTTTTCCATCCAGCAAGCCGCCCTGTCGATTTTCTAAAGTCGTTTCTTTTTGGATTTTTTCATTAATTCGGTTAGGGTTAGAGTTGAGGTTAGGGGTTAGAGTAGGGGTAGGGTGTGGGTTAGTTACATAGCCATTTAACACCTCTTCCATTTTCCGAAAATGACGTCAGGTCAGTTTGCTGGATGGAAAATAGTGCTAACCATAAATCAGGTCGAAACCGACTGAAGGTCGCGTTTGTTTATAAATATTGCTGAAGTTGAAATAGTTGAATTGTATTTTCAGTCTTGATAATAAATTTAATAATGGTTCTGTATGCTATACATACTCATTTTTTTCTTTTATGCGGTTTTGGACACATTTCTAAAAATACAAATGTCAAATATAAATTTAAATAAAAGTTTTCTCAGTCATTTTGAATTTGACTTGAATTTTGCGTTTGATAATTATACGCCCCCCCCCCGGTTTACCGCCATATTGGGTGTGGAATCGTGCAGAGGCTTCGCGCCTTCATAGCCAATTATAAAGCCTCTGCGGAGGAGAGAGAGCCAGAGTTATATATTGATCAGGAATGTAGCGAAGGACTTTGCCGTTGGGGAGCTACCGTGTATGGTTCAACCCCGGTTCAACTTATCTGAATTTTTAAATTAAGTTTTACCCAAGAGGCCAGTCATTATTAATGACAGGGGGGGGGGGCACAGAAGAGCAATGTGTTTCTTGGTAAAAATGTTGCTGATTCAAGCATGATTCAAAATTTTGCTGATTCAACCACGCACCCGATCAAAACATTTACAAAAGGATACCATTCAGTTGTCACACATGTCCTTTATCACCTAATTGTGACATGACATTGATAACTGCTTGTGCAATTTTCTGCAGTATAAAATTTCATGTTGTGTGCACATCAGTGTACTTTCTTTGGAGACATCATTTGCATGGCTCCTGACAAATCGGAAAATAACCTTTTTAACCTCATGCTTGCTCGTCAATGCTTTTATAATTTACCTAAAAATCAGCTCAAGACACCTCTAAATTTACCTGACATATTTGGGGTTTACACCCCCCGCCCACACGCATAGCTACGGCCCCGTGTATACTAACTTGCATTGGTTATCAATGGTACACTATCAACCTGGTCCCCAGGGCCTTCGTGCGGAGAAGGCCCGTGCTGAGAAGGCCCTGGCATCGGCTAGAATTTTACACCCCAAATTTTGAGGTGTAAATAAATTAAGACCACTTAATTTCAATGCGCGAAATTGATTTGTTCTTCAAAATTTCCTATACTTGCTGCTCCAAGACAAGGTAAATTTTAAATATTTTTAATCCTCGAGAAATAAGCTATCGGAAAATGTTTGAATCAAGTTTATATACGATCAGAAATTTAGAAGTTAGGAGTCAATTTGGCAGCCGCGGCTTGATTTGGGGTGAAAATTCTATAGCCGATGCCAGGGCCTTCTCAGCACGAAGGCCCTGGGGACGCGGTTGGTCACACTATGTATATATTAGGCGTAAAATGATAAAGTACGCAAAGCATTCTGAGCATACCAAGTCTTTAGAATTTGCTAAATTGGTTTAATTTCTAAACTTCGAGGAATGGTTCGTTTGAATAGCGATGTTCTCCATTCAACAAATCTGATTCTATTGGTGAATTTGGATACTGTAAGTATTGACAATCTGTTCATTCTGCTGCGATGCCTATTAGAACCAATAAAAAGAAGTCAAAGAAACAACAATTTCATAGCAATAAAAATTAAGGTTGTCCCATTCAGATGAGAAAAATTGTAAACGTGTTTTATGGATTTTTAATGTAAAAATATTCGCCTTCGGTAAAATTGTGTATTTTTCGTTTGCGCATTGCGTTTGCGCCTTAACGCATTACGTTTCTTCGAACGCCATCGCACTTGCATGATTCTAAAATTTGCTTTATGCGTTAAGGCCACGCTGCAGGGAATCTTTGTTACAAATTGCAATATAATTGTTGACACAGAGTCCTAGGTAAATTGTGAGTATGGCTGACTGTTTACTCTGCTGAGATTTTTCATCTGCTTATGAGTCTATGTTGTGCTTGTAAAAAAGTGTAGTGGCAGCAGTGTTGTAACGAGTCGAGTCATTGACTCGGACTCGAGTCGCTATTTTCAGCGACTCGACTCGAGTCCAATCGGAAAAATGACTCGACTCGAGTCAACAGCCCCAAATGACTCGACTCGGACTCGACTTGCTGATTTTTCCGTAAATGACTCGAGTCAACTCAGCTACAACTTGTACAGAATAAATTCATCAAAATTATTGTGATTGTATTGCTTGGGAAGAACAATCAGTCCTGTGACAATGAGAACTTCGAAACTTTATCAAAATATATATGGAATTTGCATAGAATATATTTCTGACGGGCATGCCTATATTACATTTCTGTTTTTGGAAACAACGCCAGTGCCTCAGTGTTTAAAATGGAAAACTTTGTGTACTTATACTAATTCTGACAGGCTATTTTCATTTTTGGTATTTATGAAGTGCTATATAAATTCAAATTCTTTGTTAATTCTGACTCCAGTTGCAAGTTATGCTATTTGTATGTACGTACACTCGTTCTTGCATATGTCCCAGGGCTTAGGGAGGACGCGCCCGGCCGAGAGGCCCTGGGGACGAGGATGGGGGTGGACTTGATACAACCTCGTCCCCAGGGTCTTCCTCGTGGTGGCGCGTGAGCTGAGGAAGACCCTGGTAAAATACGATGAAATCTCCAAGATTCTTGGAGATTTATCGCATGCGCAGTAACGACAACGTTATGTTGCTGACTACAATTAGCGCTGGCGCTTACGATTTTCTTGCTTGAAAATATACATGTTTTGTTGATTGTTTATGGATTTATTCTCAAAGTTTTAACAACTTTTACGAAAAATTCTTCAGATATAAGCTGTGAACACACATGTACACAAAACTGTGCAACATTCATCATCATATTGTATCAATTTGTCGGAGTATGCCGCTCAAATTTGTGACATTGTTTTGTTCGCTTTGGCAATCCTCGTATATATCAGATGCTATTCGGCCTCAAATGCGACTGAATAAACACTGATAGTGTTGCCTGGAATATGAAATGATATTGAATGATTGTTCTGTATATCAAGGTATGTACTGTACATTTATACTGAATTTATTCGATTTATTTCACACGTTGCTTTCACATTTTCTCAGAGTCTCGGAAATCACATTTTCTAATAAACTCAGTTTCACACATACAGCAAGACTTCATTTCACACATACAGAAAGACTTCTTCAGAAATCACAGTTTTTAACATATAGAAAAACTTCATATTATCTCATCAGTTAATCAAATTATGATAACAGTACGTAGTAGGAATGCTTAGAAAGATTTTATTCTGTTTTCCATATACAGTGTACAACTGTTATTTCAATTTTCTCTTTCCTATATTTTCTTTAAAGCAGGTACTGTTCTGTTACAAGACAACTAATAAACATTTTATTATTTTAACAGGTGAACCATATTTTACATGAACTTGGGGAAAAAAACAACTTGAATTCCATGGAAATATATATAATCATGTCATCAATCAGCTAGTAAACAATCATTAAGATGGCCTCAAGATTATATTTCACAGTGACCAACATGAAAATTTTTAAATGGGAATTAGTTGATGGCATTATAGTTTTCTAATGCTATATAATTTTGTTCATCAAGGTGAAGAAACCTTAACTCACTATACCTTTTCCTGTTACAGAGCTATGGTAGTAATCTTAGAAGATTTCCATGATCCCTCTATTCAGTAGTTCTTTAACCAGTCTGGTATTATGACTGTATTGTGTTAAATAGCCTTGTGTGACTTTTGTATTTTGTTTCTTTAATAATATTTACAATGATCAAAATTACAGTTTAATCTTTGCATTTCTAATGATAATTACTTGCACATATCCATCACACTTCTCTGTTACTATTAAACTTAGTACTATCATGCAAGTAAAATCTCTTTGGAAAAATAAAATGTTGTCCCAGGATAGTCATAAATATCAGCTAGTAAAACTAATGAATATATACCTATAATCATGTACATATGACTATCATATAATATGTTGTAATTCCTTTAAGTGTTTCCAATTAAATAAATTTCTATTTTCAGTTGTTCATTGTTCAAACTAATTTGAAACCTACAGTATATGTAGTTGCTTAGGCTCGATCCAGCCGGTGGGTCTCTCCCCCCACCGGCTGGATCAATGGTCGAACGGCGTTGGTCTCGACCAATAGAAACGAAGCCTGCCAAATTTCGAGGGTTATGTGCTGATTGGTTGAGGAAGGACACGTGTCATATTTTCGACAAAAAAGCGACAAAAATGGCGGAGGCAACAAGTGTTATGGACGAAACTCTATATTTTCAAGCGAAATCTAAAATAAAGTCAATCTTTAAGCTACAGAATCTCATAGAATGTCAGGAAAAAGCGCTCAAATGTCTTATTATGGATTTATGGGTAGGGATGTGTTAACGATATTGCCTACCGGAGCAAGGAAGTCTTTGATCTTCCAAAGCTTCCCAATTGTATTTGATGTGATGCATTCATCTCAGTCTCCGAGTATTTGCTTAGTTATTTCTCCACTTTCCTCATTGATGCAAGACCAAGTGATGTATCTTAATTCAGTGGGAATAAAGGCTGCATTTATCGGGGATGACCAGACGGATGAAGAAATTAAATGGCATGTAGAGACCGGGTATTATCAACTGGTATATGGCTCTCCTGAAGCGTTTTTGGCGAGCAGTCGATGGCGAAAAATGCTTACTGGTGATGTATATCGTGATATAGTATGTTTAGTTGCAGTAGACGAAGCTCATTGCATTCAGCACTGGTAAAGATGAGGCCTACTCTGGGGCGGTAAATCGCCTTAAATCGCCTTAAATCGCCCAAAATCGCATTAAATCGCGGGTTAAAATGGTCAAATTTCTCTTAAATCGCCTAAAATCGCTTTAAATCGCCTAAAATCGCTTAAAATCATGGGCGTACTGGGTGGAGGGGACGGGGCGACCGCCCCCAGTTTCTAGCTGGGCGACCGCCCCCTCGCTTTGTTGGGCAAACAAAGCCAGCCGGGCAATATTCGCTTCACAGTCGGGCAATATTGGTTTATTATAGAAATAAATGGGACAAATTCTGTCAATTTTGTGGGAAATTCTGTCAATTATGTGGGAAATATGATATCTAATAGGATTTTTTTGTAATCACTTCTCCCTCCCCCCCCCCTCCCCAATCACTTCTTTCCAACCCCCTAATATTTTCCTTCCCGTACGCCCATGCTTAAAATCGCATTAACTCGCCAACATGCATTCTGTTTGATACATTCAGTCAATAATGTACTCAAGTTTATCAATTGCTGCTATTTTGCTGGCAAATCATGTATAATCCAGGTGTTTTGCAATCAAAAGTAATGCAACATGGATAAATCAAATAAGTGGATTAGGCTGACAATATTTAGTCACTCAATAGGCTCCGGTCATTAATAAAAACAGAGCCTTTTTCTGCTTTATGCAGACTTTACAATAATTAGGCAATTCTGGGATATGAAAGACCCATACATTCCATTACACTACCAGCAACTTAGTTACTGGTTAATTTCATTATTGGTGTAAAATGTGGAGGCTGGGCTACAATTTATATGGACTATGGTGGCTGGGCTACAAATTAATCTATAATATACATGGCTTCTCAAAGCCTAATTGCTGTTAGAACAACAGTAGGAGACTGTGATAATGAGAGTCAATGAGTACGAGTATATAATAAGGCCATCCTGCAATTTGTGCACTGTTGCATGTAGATCGAGCACTGCATTGTATACAATGGTTGTACTTCGACATGTGCATGGTTATACTCTAGCTGCTAGTTATAATTATATTGGCTATCATACGAAAAACATACGTGAGGTTTAATATGAGCGAGATTTGCAAGTTTTGCAACTCTCGTCTATTAAATTTTCCAGACCTGTATATAAAATAAACAGTAAAACAATGATTACATCGTACATACCATACAATCTTTGTTGTTGCTTGTTTGCTTTATCAGGTAAAAGACTTAAAACCACGATGTAGTGCGCGGTGTGCCATTTGTTTAATATCATTTTGTTTAGTATTTTTTTTTAAATAATTTAGAATTCCGACCATTTATATGCGATGTACTTCATGTAAATTAAACTTTACGGCATTACGCCGACAGTTTCCGAATGCGTGACAATACTGTTTCAAACTGTTTCTGGATATAGATATCAAACATAATTTTATAAAACATGTTTGTTGAAACAGTTTAAATAAAATGCAAGCTAAATAAAGAAGTGTTGACAAGATACAAAACAAGACAATTTCACTTACAAGGGTGACAAGGTAATTTATAGGAATATAGCTTATTGTAACTGTATAAATATATTGTGCGTTTCTACTCCCTGTGGGCTGTGGTTCTTTTGGAAATCAAATAGCTATTATATTTTGCAATTAATAATATTAAAGTTTAGCCTAAGACATGTGTAGTTTAGTTATAGGTTGGTATTTTGCAATTATGTACCGTACATGCCCCCTTAAGTAGAGTATATTTATTAACTGTTTACAATATTTGTGGTATATAATGTAGCCATGAATGCATGACCACATGACCCCACAAGATGAACTCCAATGGCTTCTAAATAAGACAATGGATGAAAAGTTCACGAATATTGAGCTTTATATATGATTCGGGTTAAATACAATAATTATTAACCTAGCTTTATATAAAATGTACATACATGTTCTAATAATTGTATTTTGCTTCATACAATGCATATGTGTCAATGTGTGTGAAAACATTACATTATTCAGCTCACTCCCCTTTGGGGCTTTTCAGTCACCGCTTACATAAAGTATTAGGCTTACTTATGTTAGTCTAGACTATATATCTTTATAACAATGAGAATATGATATCACTTTTCTAACTGTGTTTATTCTAACCCACCCTGCCATATTTTGCCTTGTGGGAGGAAACCGGAGCAAAATATAAAATTCAATTACCTTGAAAACACAGGTCTAAATTGCAATCCCTAAAATTTAGAATTTTCTCTTAAATCGCCTTAAATCGCCTAAAATCGCATTAAATCGCAGTGCTTGAAAGTCCCAGTTTTTCCTTAAATCGCCTAAAATCGCCCAAAATCGCATTATATCGCAGCGATTTAAGGCGATTTACCGCCCCAGAGTAGGCCTAAGATGCTAATTTCAATTGCTTACTTGATTTTTTTTTATACTGTGTACTGCCAACACTTAGTCATTTATTAATGATGATAAATGATGATATTTTGTTGACATACTTGACTTGTTACAGTAATATTAATAAGGATTTAATATATTAATGTTACAGTAAGATTGTATAAAATATTAAAGTATAAGGGTATCTTATAGTAAAAGCATTAGATAGTCTGTGAATGTTTGATTTGTGAATGTTAATTATTTATTTCATTTTTTTTGTAGGGGATATGCAGTCAAGAAAGGAGAACAAGCTTTTCGCAAATGGTTTTCCAGGATAAATGAGATGCGTTCACTGCTAAAGAAAATACCAATCCTGGCCCTCACTGCCACTGCAACCTTGGCAACAAAGAATAAAATAGTTCGGGCATTGGAAATGGACACATGTGAGGTTATAAATCAAAGTCCAAATAGAAAGAATATAGTATATTCTGTCCAGGCTGTAACTGGTGGTGCACATCAGACATTTGGTCCAATTATAAAAGAACTGAGAGAAAAAACAGTTAGTTTTGAGAGAATCATAATCTATTGTCAAACTATTAAAATTTGTTCACACATATATGGTGTATTCAAAGAGGAAATGGGTGAAGATATGTATGTTTCAACTGGTGATATCACAAGTGGAATGGTTGAAATGTATCATTCCAGGATTGATGAATTGAATCGTGATAATATTGTGAAGGATTTTTCAATACCAAATGGACATATAAGGGTTTTGATTGCAACAATAGCATATGGGATGGGGATCAATTGTCAAGGGGTAAAATCCATTGTGCATTATGGTCCATCTAGAAATGTTGAAGCATATCTGCAAGAAAGTGGTAGAGCTGGTAGAGATTCTTCTGATATGTGCAAAGCTGTCATATTGTATTCAAATGTTATGTTGAAGTATTGTGATGAACCAATGACAGAATATGCCCGAAACAGTACAGTTTGCAGACGGACAATGCTGCTGTCTTATTTTCAATCAGAGCTATATGATATAGAGAAGCCTTTATTACTTCATGAATGTTGTGACATCTGTCAAAGACATTGCCATTGTGATGGCACAGTTTGTAGTGCAGTATCTATTTAAATAATGCAAATCATTAAAAACTTGCATAGCATAACCTGTTGCTATGGCTATAGCTTCACCACTGACATTATTATAATTATTATACAAACAAAAGCAAGAAATTATAAGCATTGATTAAGGTATTCATATAAAACCACCCATGGCAAGGAAGTACTGTAGAATTAGAATATTTAGGGCCTGTTTATATGATCCAGGCGGGACGGGATGCCTACCGAGATCCCGCTCGTAATACAAATTCTAAAGAGTGTTTTGAATATGATCCCGCCACTTATTCTGCCGATACAGGATCTCGGCAACAGATGCCGGGATCCCGCATAAGCGAGATAAAAAATTCCCATATAAACACTTCATCCTGGCTAGGCGGGATGAATTTTCCCCTTTTGAGCATGCGTAAATGCTTTTATTGCAACAAAAATATGACGTCAAGCACTTAAATGGCTTCATCCCGGCAATGAATTTTGTCCATAAAAACAGTAGACGAGTATCCCGTCTAGGTGGGATGAAAACGTCCCATCCCGTCTAGGCGGGGTCATATAAACAGGCCCTTAGATGACCTTTGTGCAAAGTGTTTGATATTCAAATTGCACTTTTCCTGCCTCCTAAACAGGCTGGCCTTAGGGGCTGTTTACATATTGAAATAAGTGACTATAGGCTAGAAAAAGTAAATTGTACTGTATTTAAAGCTAATTCTCAATGGCAAGAGCAGTCACGAGACAGTGACCATGTGTACGGGAAGTCTGTGTTAAAGGATGCATTGAATAAAGTCAGGTATGTTTGCTTGAGTAATTGTTTAAATGATGAGATGTTGGAAAAGCCATGCACAGGAGCTGTTTTGGAAGTAGTGTTCAACAAATGCTGGTTAACAGAACTGTAGAGAAGATCTTGTAGTTCAAGCATATTATTATTCCTGCTTGAACAACTATAAGTTTACAGTTAACTAGAAAATAATAAATTTTTTTTCTGAATTGTGCAAGACAAGATTACACGAGACAACACATCTTGAGACATTCATTTCTTGTAACTCTAAGGGTGACAAAGGGTCTAATTGATTGAACTAAAGAATTGAAATTTGTAAACTATAAATAATACAGAAGTACATATTTAATAAACAAGTTAATTCAGTTGACTAATTATACCTTTTTTGAAGCTTTCCCCATCTTCAAGAGTAAACCATTAACATGCTGTACAAGACTCATAGCATTATCACGAGTGTTTGACGCAGCATTTACAACCCTTGGGTGTATTAATTCAGACTTCTCGCCAGCACCAGCATGTAGCATTTTATAGAAGAACGGTGTCACAGAATAAGGCACACAGAAGGGCCACTTACGTCGGAAGCTTTGAAGTTTCTGTCACCCTGGCCGCCATCTTCCTAGCCAGTCGATTACATTTTCTGGCCAATGAACGCGCTGTATTGGCTGGCCGCCATCTTCCTAGCCAGTCAATTGCATGTTTTTGCATAGAAAAATGGGGACACGTTGCACCGCTGAGTGGCCCTTCTGGTACTGATCTTTATTCTGTGACGGTGTTCTAGTATTGAATTCTTTGCCAACATTTGTCCAAGAAAATTCATTAATTGCTTCCTTGTTTATGGAACGCAATATGGATGGTTGCTTCAATGAACATAGGTTTTTACATTCCTTAGATATCTCTGCAACCGCGACTTCTTCTATGTAAGGTCTTAATCCCTTGCAATTAAATGCAGATACAGCAACACTTTTCATACTTCCCCTTGCTAAGGGTTTACCCAAACAATGCATTTCTTGCGGAAGGGAATATGATCTTTTCCCATTTGAATATGTTACAGATACCTATATATAGAGATAAACATAATTTTAAAATCTTTAAAATAATAGTTCATAATATCTTAAATTTGTACATTGGATGTATCGTCTTTTTACTCTTTTACAAAACTTTACATCCAAATAGATCAACAAATATGGCATTGTATGTCAACAAATTTATACATAAATTCATGTATGGATACATTTATACATAATATACAATGCAATGTTTCAATTATAAAAGTAATTAAATCGAGTACGTACAGTTTAATTTTGCAAATACGCTTATTATGTAAATACTTTAGCATGTGTTCGAAGCAAACCTACCTCGACTTTGCAAACATTTTCTGTGCCATCAGGGATGGGTAATCCATGTTGCACAGTGTGGAGTATGTTACTGGGTCTAGGCATTAAAATTGAACATCATTGGAACGGTGGTAAGTTGAGTGTATTGAACGCAGAAGGAAGGTAAACACAGGTTGAATTTAATGCAGTTTTCTGATAGTTCATACTCTGAACTGTATTAGACTGACTCTTGAATCGTTCACATGTTGAACTTGGTGCAATGTCCTGAAACGTCTGACTCAGAAAACACTATTCAGACTCTTCCGACGCTGCGCGGGTTGCGATGTTTCTTTCACGTCGCTCGGAACTCCACGTTTGAATCGCACTGAAGTTTTACATGCATGAGCATGTGATTGTCTGTCTTTTAATGTTGCAGACAGATACGCCAACGATGTTCTCAGTGCTGCAAATCTATTCGTGTTTTTATAACAGTCATCGTTGCAAAGGTATCCTGTTACATCGATGGTGTCAAGTTCACATTCAAGAATATCAGATAACAGCTTGGCAACTGAACTATTTATTCTTGCTCTTCTCTTCGCATCCGGCAAGTTGATACCACACAAAAAACAAAAGTATTTATTTTCTTTTAGATATTTTTTTGGAGTGATATTGAGCTTTCCCTCAGCCATATTTACATGTAAAGCGCCAAAAATGTCGCATGCGAATAATAATCAGTAAAAAACGGAAGTGACGTCACGGACAAGGCTGTTCGACCATTGATCTAACCGGTGGGGGGAGAGACCCACCGGCTGGATCGAGCCTACGCTAACCCCATGATCGTTGCCACGAGAGCGGCACAGCAACCTGGCCTCCTCGTTTGAAAACATTCCATCAGGGGGGGAGGAGCTGGACTGGAATGAGGGGGCTTTCAAAGCAACACGATAAAACACACGATATAAATGTTTAATACTTGTTTATTGTCGAATACAGCATGATAAAGTAATAATTTCTATTTATATCGTGTGTTTTATCGTGTTGCTTTGAAAGCCCCCTCATTCCAGTCCAGCTCCTCCCCCCCTGATGGAATGTTTTCAAACGAGGAGGCCAGGTTGCTGAGCAGCTCTCGTGGCAACGATCATGGGGTTAGCGGTTCTGTCGAAAATGGAAATTTGTACTTTTGACAAACAAAGTTCGTCGTGTGTCGCGGGAATTGCCGCAATGGTGAAGAAACCAAGTTCTTTCGAAAGAGGAACGTTCGTGCTATTAGACGATGTGAAATTTATTGCTCTGCGACGATTCTGAGGCGAGATATTGGACTCGATGTCGGAGAGTATATCAGATAAGTGGCTAGCCTTGTAGTTATTTATGTCCTAGTACGGCCATGTCGTCCAGTGCCAGTACTGACGACCGTTCAAGTACGACGAAAACGTAAAGCAATCGCATCAACTAAACTCAGAAACACAACAAATGGATTCTATTAACAAGTGAGATATATTTTTTACATATATTGTTAATATTTTTTGAATTATTTTGTTATTTTAAAATATTATAACGGTTAAATATTCAAAATATATAGGACGTTCAGAGATTGGGCCGCCTGTGCTACAACACGTGATATATTCTAAGCATGTTAATTGGTTGAAAGTTTGGAACTTCCACGTGTTGAAAATTATATTCAGGCAGCAAAACATTCCACAAGTTCAAATTACAGAATCTCTGGCAAACGCGGGTAATTATAATAGAGATTTACGCAGCAAAAATATAGATGAGAGCAATGCTGGTGTTAAATTATTTTGACAAGAAAAACTCGCTGACAATTTCTGGATACATTCGATTGTCGCGTGCGATCGAACAATAAGAAGCCGATATGGTCCGATATACTTGTAATACAAGAATCTGACTTGGCAATTTTCGAGAAAATCGGCGCGTCAACCAGCTTAATTAAATCTTGGGTTGATTTTACACGAACTGCAGTCCTTCACTACGAATTTGTATAGAAAATATCGCCCTAATTCTAGGTTGAAGAAACTTGAATATAGTTTTTGTCATTCCTATGTGTGATGGTCGAGTTATAATACACAGGCCGAGTAAAAACTTGGTGGAAAATTACTCACTATTTCACTTCTACTATAGGATTTAATAAATGGCTTTTAACTGAGTGGAGTGAGAATAACTCCTTGAAATTGATAGTATATATCGTAAGTCGAACTAAATATTTCAACATATTTCATATAGGTTAGTTTAGTTTTCAGTATTTTGACCTAATCATAATGGTTATAATGACCTATTTGGGAATAATAACCAATCGGTAAATTTGCTTAACCAAAAAGATTGGTTAAATTAACCTATTTTTATTGGTCGCAAAATTTGACCTGATAATAATAGGTTATTTTAACTAATTTAAATCGGTTCTAACCCATTCAATTGGTTAAAACAACCTTTAATTATTGGTTACAACCTTTAGAAATAGGTTGTTTTAACCTACAGTTTTTACAGTGTACATCAAATCAAACAGCGCAAGTTTTTTTGGGACACCCGCGGTATATATATATATATATATATATATATATATATATATATATATATATATATATATATATATATATATATATATATATATATATATCAAAACCATGCCAGAGCGCTCAAACTGGGACATCAAAACCATGCCAGAGCGCTCAAACTGCAAGCAGTGAGCGTGCGCAATGCGTAAGCGGCATGGCTCATCCTGTAGAGCGCTCAATATGACCTAAAGGCCATAGAGCGATATCTAACTACAGACGGTACCGTTTCGGCCTTATGGGCCTCATCAGTCATCAGTGTAGTGCTGATGAGCAGGATGAAAGTAACTGCTATTTACAGTTACCTTTGATGCCTCACGATTGTGGGACATCAAAACCATGCCAGAGCGCTCAAACTGCAAGCAGTGAGCGTGCGCAATGCGTAAGCGGCATGGCTCATCCTGTAGAGCGCTCAATAGAGGCCATATAGAGCGTAATCTAACTACAGACGGTACCGTTTCGGCCTTATGGGCCTCATCAGTGTAGTGCTGATGAGCAGGATGAAAGTAACTGCTATTTACAGTTACCTTTGATGCCTCACGATTGTGGGACATCAAAACCATGCCAGAGCGCTCAAACTGCAAGCAGTGAGCGTGCGCAATGCGTAAGCGGCATGGCTCATCCTGTAGAGCGCTCAATATGACCTAAAGGCCATAGAGCGATATCTAACTACAATATATATAATATATATATATATATATATATATATATATATATATATATATATATATATATATATATATATATATATATATATATATATAAACAAGACAGAAAACAAGTCAATGAATACTTCGTGGCCGGGTGCCCACAACAGCTTGTGAAGCCAATTACTGTGGTCCCGATAAGTGAGAGAATACATGCACTAACTACAACTTAAAAAACTCATTAATAATTCAGGAGGAAAACACAAAGAAAAATCATAAGCGTGTCGTATCTATATATGTGATAAAAATCATGGTAATTTACATAACCTTTAGCTTTGATTTTCTCGGTTTAGACAAAGTTTAGTTTAAAAATTACTTCGCCAATGAACTCATATAAGATGAGTCGTTTTTTAAGTCATTTAAAGCACTTGTAGTCGTGTTTTATCAGATAAAAAACGCTCGGCTGCGCCTCGCGTTTTATATCTGATAAAACACTCTTACGCGTGCTTTAAATAGTACACGACGTGGAGATCCTAAGTGATTATGATATTATGATATGCATATTTACTCATTATGATATGTATATTGAGTATAATTTATGAGGGCCACAAGTTTCTATTGGCCGTTAGGTATTTAGCACTACCTTGACAATAAAGTAGTTATTATAATTATTATAATTTCAATGGAAATATTTCTACCAATGCAGGTATTATTATCAAGTCAGAAGAATATTACTAAAGCGCCGTTTTACAGATATCTTTATCCATGGCTTGGAACAGGTATAATTATTATAACTCAATTTATTATAAACACAGGCGCAGTGTCCGGTAATGTAAAGTTTTGTACAATTTGGTATTTTTTCTAGAAACACAATCAAAATAAACTACAATCGACGTTAAACGTTGCGACGTTAAATGATTTTATGCATGCATGCATTTGCCTTATAATGTCACATGTATATGTCTTTTAAAGTTTGTTAGGACCATAATTTGTTTAGAAGTGAAAGTGACACAAACATTATATCTGACAGCGAAATTTACTATCAGGCCCAATAATACATATAATTCACAATTTTGATTGGTTTAGGGAGAAGCACCGTGGCGAAGCCCGTAGCGAGTGTACTAATTCCGCTCGGCTATTTACACCCGGGGAAAGGAAAGCATCAAGAGGCTTCGGTGGCGAAGTGGTTAGCGCACTTGCTTTTCACCTCTGAGGTCGCCTTTTCACCTCAAATCTCAGTGAGAACTTTTCTCAGTGCGGCTCGAACCCAGTCCTCATGTGAAAAGAGTAAAAATCAACGCTCTGCCGAAAGTCGTGAGGCTCGTGGGTTTTCTCCTGGTACTCCGGTTTCCTCCCACAGGGAAATCTGGCTGGATTAGCTAAACGTTAATCTGGCTGGATTAGCTGGTGGATTAGCTAAAAAGGCCCACAGTAACTGGCATATGCTTTTGTGGTGACCCTGCATGCCCTAGTTGGCAAAGCTAATAAATAAATAAATAAATAATCATTAACGTAGTCTAAAGTTCGTCAATAATCGCGGATGCATATGGCTGTGCATGGGCGGTCATCTCACAACACCGCGGAAAAACGTCTGCGCATGCGTTAACCTTACTGAAATTTGCCTTGTGATTTGTGAACGTGGTGTCAAGTATTCCGAAGGTTGTCAAAAACTCAAAATTGAAGCGACAAGGAGTGACTTCGATGTTTTGCCTTTTCTGTGAAAATGCAAGCGGAATAATGAGTGACAACCTGAAAACAAGAAATAATTAATTACAGTCTATATATGCAAGAAGTAGTATTATACTAGAAATACATGCATACTGCATGCAGCAACACCTCGCCTTTCTAAACCACAGTTAACTGTGTCTTAACAGATAAAATATATACATTCTACATGAAATATTTCATGTTTAAAATAATCGTAGTTGCCATGGTATAACGTGAAAATAACATGGGAAAATAATAAGAGATAATTTTTTAACCAAGTTATATTTTGGTCAAGCCACATTTACTGCAGCTAAAACACCATTATAAACACACATAAAAAACACGATGAGCTGCATTAATTGTCCCGCTTAAATGAACAATAATAATCACCACTATTTCATGTAAATACCAGCTTGCGTAAAAAAACATGGTATTTATTGAATATTGATTTAAGAAATTTCGTAGATATGCATGAAATCGAAAACACAAGCACTGTATGGAAATTAACATAGCCAAGACAACGATTATAAAATTTATTAAAAACATCTGGTTCTTCTTCGACAAATTTCGTGTTTATGCCTTTCACACTTTGTTTCACGGTTGACAGCCACTAATTCATAAAACTGCAGGCTTGTTTCCAGTTAAAAGCGAAAAACATCGCAAAAATATATTGTAAAACAATCTCCTTTGCAATTTTTTTGTACTCGCGCATGCGCATAACGTCTAAAGGCCTTACGTCCGGAACGGTGCTTCGCGCCAAAATGAACCAAAGGT